GGCGCCCCCTATAGGCCGCCCCACCTATAGGGGGCGCCGATGTGGATGAACAGGGCAGGCATGGCCCTGTTCATCTAGCAAGGCTCTATAGGGGGCGCCACATCTTCCCGGCCATGTTCAAACAGCTTTTTCCTTTTTATCAACAAAGCAAGAAAAAAAATAAATGTAGATGAATATTATTACATAAGCAATCGTGCGTGAAGCCACAAACAAAAGCATCTGAATTAAATAAATATCCATGAGAAATCAATCAAACAGGTAAACCAACAGGAGAGGTACAAAATGACTCTTGAAATCCATTTGCTTTTACAAAATACAGATTATCCTCAGTTTGTCGCCTACAGCTGCAAAAATGCCTCTGCTACCAAAGAATATTACAAAGAAATACATCCACTCGCTATGATAGACCACCAAATGACTATTTTTTTAAACATATATCACGTTGGCCCCGCCAACTTCTTCTGATTAAAGCAAAACGGGGCCGGAAAACACAAGCGAAACCCCAAACCAATGCTATGCTCCTTTTCGAACTACTATATAACAAGTGTAATGTTAATTTCCACTAATGAAATCCTCCACATGTCAGTAGGATCCCATTGGTGGCATGCCAAATGGTGGCATTGGAGGCATGCCCATTCCACCCATGGGTGGGGGTGGTGCAGCAAACCCACCTCCCATACCCGGCATAGGCGGTGCAGGCAAAGCAAGAGGCAGCAACTGGGCATACATATTCTGCAAGAAATTACAAACCAAAATTAGTTTTTTGAAATTTCTAATCAATTAATTGGATAATATTCTAAATTTGAAAACTTATGATTGGGGCATCGTAAGAGATTTAAGCATCAAACAAGACACAATTCCAAGGCGTTAAATGAATGTCCAGAGGTGCAAGTGACATAACAAAGGAAAGTATAATTGATCTTCCAAAGATTGCTAGAGTTCGACAGAAGATGTGATGTGATGATTGATATGATTAACAGTTATTCTTGTCATTTTTGTCATACAAGAAAAATGTTGTAGTGCCCTTATGAGTTTGGCGAGTAAATAATACTACCATATATCAAATCATACACAAAGATGCATGCCAGATCAGTCGACAGTCGTCTTATGAGTGAAATCCATGATAAAAAATTAGGTTCCTGGAAGGTATACCTGCTGTTTAATAATATCCTTCTCCTCATTCTCTTTAGCCTTTTCTTCATTAAGAGAATCAATTTTGTCCTTGATTAATTCATCGACTTTCCCTGTGTATTCGCGGATAAACTGCAAGAAAGGAAAGATGTGAAACCAACTTGCACTTGGAAAAGAAGTGCGTAAACTTAAGACAGCTCAAGGTCAGGCAGAGGCAGAGCAAAGTCAATGCACACGGACCTCAAACATTATACTAAAAGTAAAGAACATGACCAATCCAGAGAGAGAAGATAACAGAACAGAAAAAAGGTGCACTCAATTGTTTCTGAGATACTCTGTTAAATGATCCACAAAAACACAAATGCACACAAGGTAGAGGGAGAGGGATAGAGGAGAGGTAGAAGGAATCACCTGGAACAGATATGGGAAGGCAAAGTCGATCATATTATTCATCCATGCTAGTTCCAGAGCAACGTCAGCACGAATTAAATCGTAACAAACAAAGAGGCATGATGCAAAGCATTCTTTCTTTCCCTGAAGAAGCACATGAGCAACAATTTAGATATCAAATTTCTGCAGTTAACAATTCAGGTGACAATGTTGCTTATACTGAAGTAAACATGTCAAACACCTACGATTGGCAAAAACCATGCATCAACAACAAACTCAGAACACACATGAAGATGCTGATTTATTGCATTAACAACATTCAAACTAAGACAAAGTATCCCAGCTTCAACAACATGGGTAACACTGCCAACATTTTACCAAACATAGATAAGAGGTAAAAGATTTTCTCAGTGTGTCCATGGGCCATAGATTTAGATTCAACATTAGGATAAACTTTTTCTGATACCCATACAAATTCCCAAGTAACAATGTGACTGAAATTGCACCAACTAAAGGAAAGATTATCGTCAAGGGAAAAAAATGTTCTTCCATGCCAAGCCACAATCAGTATCTAGACTTCTAATGCAAAATAAAGCTTGTCAAAGAAGCTCATACATAGAGTTCTCTTACAACATGGAAACAGATTTAACTACATAGGAGAAACTGGGAAAAATGGAAAGAAAGGTTTCAGCGTTCAAAAGTAAAAACATCTGTGGAAGTAAATTCCTCTTAAATAAAAATGCAGTTTGAACTTAATATGTCAAAGTTGAATTCAAGATGAGCAGTCCCAAAGATATTTCAGTTTCCTTTACTGCGCACATTTCTCTAGTGAAAATTCAAATGTTAAAAAGAAAAATATCCAGCTATTACAACAAAATGATACCTGATCAATGAAGTAAACAAGCAACTCTTCCGCAAGTTCACGATCGCCAGATTGTGAAGCAGTCTCCATTGCATCTTTGTAAAGGTTATCTTTCTTTGACAATGCAATGGATTGCTTCCACCTACCAGCCTTTTTATAAATGTAAGCAGCAACACGCCTCATTTCAAGAAGCTCATGTTTCTCAATCTGCTCAAGCCCATATAAATGGCATAAATTAGCCCCAAGATACAGGAACTAGGAAGCAAAGTGAAGAAATGCAATAAGTTCACCTTTTGTGCAAGGCCAATCTGATCAAAGTTATCATGGAAGTCAATTGATTCACGCAATCTGTCATAATCTTCCTCCTCCACATAGATCTCATTAAGAGCTTCATTCACAGCAGACACATTGTTGTTCTGAACCGCAACCATGTATGGCTTAACAAGACGCAGGTGGCCAGCCTAAATGAAGCAAATGTAAAAAATTTCAGCAGAAAACCAATGGCTCAATCAAGCAATTTTGAATTGAGAAGGGAAATAAACCATTCAAACAGAAACACAGACCTTTCTCATTATGTCCACCACACGAGCGTGGTCAACACGGAGGGCAAGAACATTCAGAACATCATTAATGAGATCAGGGTGCTCTTGCAAATAGAAATGTACTGCCTTGTAATATAGCTCTACATTAGCAACTTTGACAATAATATCTTTGAATTGCATGTGATCCCAAGCTTCTGGAGAATGATTCATAACAGTGGTGGCAGCGTTATCAAACTCATCATACTGAATATACAAATAAGTTAGTTCCTTCCAGTGCTGCTGTTCGTCACATGCTCGGATCAGCTTGGGAATGTTTAGACGGGTAGAGAATAATTTGATGTGCTCCATAAGCTTCTCATAACGGTACCTAGCATACAAGACACCAAGCTCTGTAAAGATGCCCATATGTGCTCGTTCCAATCCTAAACCACTCTCCATAAGAGATATAAGCTCATTAAAGCATCCTCTGTTCTGGTAGTATTCACTGACTTCTTCCAGATCATCAACCTAAAGGATTACATTCACATTATTAGTATATTCAGTGAATTCTGAACTATCTAACGTCAAAAATGTTCGTGCAAAATAAGCAAATACGGACCAGCAGTCAGCTCCTTTTGCAGCTAAAGCTAAGAAACAAATTGACCAAGGTATTGATTCTGTAAGAAACAGTCCTAAAATACCAATTAATAGAGAGTCTGGTAATATACCTGTACAATGATATTGAGCCCACATATCTGAGCCAAGCGGAACTCTTCAGCATCAACACAAGCAAAACAGACTTCTTTCCATGTCTTTGAGCTATTAGCTTTACGTGCTGCATCAACAGCCCCTTGAAATTGCTTCAACTTGACAAGTGTGCATGCCAATTTGGCCCAGTTAGAGATAAAAGCAAAAATAATCTTAGCTGCCTCATATAGAGCTTCATCATACAAGCGATCACCAACATTAGGGAGATTGGCAACATTTGGCATGAGAATAAACTCCTCAATCTCACCCAGCCTATCAATCTTAGCATATGCATAAATGAGCTCACTGTCCACCTTGGGCTCCTTCGATTTCTGCCTAACCATCAGAAGATACTTCACCAAGTCGTGATAAACATTTGCTTCCTCCGCAACACGGATAACTTCCAAGAATTGGGTGGCATCATCAGCACGAATAAATGATTCAATCGCATCGCTCACTAATCCTTCTCTGAGTTGAGCTTTAGCCACTTGACTCCAAACTGCATCTTCTTCAACACGGAATGCAAACTCAACAGCCCGGTTAATATCTCGAATATTATCCAGTAACACATTAACAGCCTGGACATTCAAATTGAACTTCTTAAAAATAGCAAAAGCCTCTTCATACAATTGAGCTTCCACTGCCACTTCCCCAACAGCCGGGCCATCAAAGTTATCAAGTCTATTTATATAATCCATAACTCTGGAAGGATCCGCCTTAATGGCTGTCAAGATAAGTAAGTTTTGCAGGTTAAAGTTTCCGCTGAATGCAGAGTTTTGGAGCACAATCTTTTCGAGCAACTCAATTAGTTCATGAGGAAGGTCAGCAGTCATGAAGGCTTTAACAGCTGCAGATACTTGTTCCGGGCTCTTGCTTTCAGGCAAAGCAGTAGATACAACTTGATCAATGAGCTGTCTTCTGAATTCATTTTCAGGGTCAAGAACTTTTGCCCACATATCACCATCCATCCTTTCAACTACATACCTGAAATAACATCACAAGCAGATAAACTTTTAAGAGAATATCAAACTAAGAAAATGTGGCAGTATAACTACACAAATCACAAACCTGGCTTGCAGTTTGAATAAAGAATTCTTATTTGTAACATTAATAAGTTCGTCATCACATTGACCTCGCCGGTAGGCGACAACAGCAAGGGTAGGATCACGTTTCTCACAGTATTTACCCACAACACGTGAATCATAATACGGATTGGTGGTGAGGAAGTGCTCTGGGTTGTTGTTGCTATCTATTATGATTTTACCCAAAGCATTGTGGACATGCACATCTTGACTTCCCTCACTCACAAGATGCTCCAAAAATTGAGTTAGCAGGCGAAGCCGGTTCCTGTATACCATACAAGTGTAAGCATTTCGATATAAAGATAAAAAGCATCTGCAAGTATACTGCGAGACTGTGGAGAAGGTACCTTTTCTCACACTCCTCTACTAAAGGCTCGACTGGAAGTAGAGAACGGACAGATAAAATCAGGCCTTTAATGAAATCTTCAGGACACTCATCATCTAAGAGTTGCCCAACAACTAGAGGAGCATTTCCAGGATTGACCTATCCAGAAAGCTAGGCATGCTCAGTTGCACGAATTACAATTTTCTCCATATGATAAAAGATCTTCACTAAAATCATACCTTTTGCACATAACCTTCAATATAACGGAGCATATTGCTTGAATACAAGTAGTGCGTGAGGTCTGGAACAAAGCCAAAGCGATCGCATACATTTATCAGTGGTCGTGCATCCGGAAGTTTGGCTTCCATTAAAAAGTTTTTTGCCTTTTCAGCGTCATAGAAATTTGATTCTCTGGTCACACGTTCTACCTCCTTAATTTGTCCAGTCTTGGCAGCTGCTTCAATGTACTTGAAGTGGATGTCAGGGTCCTCACTGCAATATACCAATAATTAATACCCAAATTAACAAGTATCTAACATGCAAAACTGATCATTCTACAGCCATAGGAAGTAATTTCCACTCTTATTAGATTACCTGGAACTCAAATATGATCCCAAAAAGAAATATAACCCCTCATATGACTTGAACTGCTCAAAGATCTTTATACATGCGTCAACACCCAACTGTTCACAATATTCTTTTGCAACCTACAAAAGTAGCTAGTCAATATTGCCATTGTAGAAAGGCAAAAATCCCCACCAAGGAGTGTAATGACATATCTGAAGTTCTATATTTCCTGGCCTATGACAGAGAAGAATTTTGTACACTTCTACAATGACACAACACAGTCATCAAGCTTAGACAGGTAACATATCACATTACATTTATAACACAGTAATCCTTACCTGGACAATTATCTGAAGGTTGCCTCTTAAGTTGACCAGTAAAAGATCCTTCATGCACTCTAAAGCCCATTCCCGTGAAAGTGTCCCAAAGAATTCCACAAGAGCCTGAAATTGGCTACATTACTCAGCACTGATGCAACAAATGATTATGAAGATACAAAAATACACAATACTGAGAGTATATTAACCTGTGGCTCAATTGCATGGGTATTAACAATGATACGCTTGATATCTGACAGTTCAGAGTAGTGCTGCAAGTATGGTACATTGTTTAATCACATAGATAAGTAAATATATCTAACATATATATATGTCCAATTTGAGTATAAAATATTAATATACATAAGGATAAAATTTAACCTGAAGAGCTCGCATGTAAAGACCAGCTTTTTCACAAAGCTGGGCAATTCGTGGCCGATCATAATGGCTGAACATTCCATTTGCTAAAATAGCATCAGCCACATTGGGAAAGGTCACAAGATTGATTTCCAGGACCTGAAGAGTAAATGAAAGTCATGACAGTAATGTCAATCAGATTGATAAACGAGGTTTGATTAGAAAGAGCAAAAACTATACAAAATTAACCTTAGTTTGGAGGAATGCATGCTCTGGCAAATTGGGTTTCAGAACATCCAACAAAAATGCTGTTGCTTCACGGATCAAGTTCCTCTGATGAAAAAAAATGATTAGAAAAGAAAGATATTACATATTGGTGTTAACCCACAAACTTTTGACACGTAATTAGAGCTCACTGCCATGTACAAGAGAACAACACATAAAGCCAATTACAGGTTAGCAATCTAGGCCATAAAGAATTCAAACAAACCACGAGAAATAAAAAATCAGACCTGAAGAAAGAGATCAGTAATGGTATTATAATCAACAGGACAACCTCCCTCCATTTGGGACATCATGAGAGCAAAATTGACAGCTCCCTACACAGATCAGCCTAATTATTTAATACTTCCAAATGTAAAGTCCCATCTACAACAATGGTCATACTCTAAAAGGGAAAGTTATTCACGCAACGTAATGCAGGAAATTATATCAACCAACATTATTTTATGCACTTCCAAGCATACCTGAGGATCTGACCGGAGGATAGTTTGCAGAAGGAACAGATAATCAGGTGTATACCCAACCTATAACGACATAAATTCAATTGCTCATAAAAAACCATTATACAAGTGTGAAGATCAATTGCAGTAGTATTCTCCTATGAATGGTCAGTGATTGGAAAACATTGAAATTATCCTGAAGTAAAGAGGTAAACTTTCTGCAATGAAATTGTAACTGACCTGCTTGGAGTATATCAAGATTTTATCAAACTCCCTACGCTCAGCAAAGGCTGCAACAACTTTCGGAGTAGCTCTTGCTTTGATATATATTTTCAGCGCAAGGTCATTGTCCACAGTCTATATAAATAGGAATTATTACAGCATCAAAAGGTGGAAAACAACACAACAAAAATTTAACATTGACAGGATTTTTTTATTTTGAAAGGTAACATTGACAGGATTTATAATAATAAATGCTTCAAATTAACTTAGAAATAAATAACCTTCACAAGGTCCCCAAGTTCTTCACTACATTCCAACTTATCCTCAGCCAACCAGTTTTCCAAAAGATTCTTTTTGTTCTGGTTCACAACAAGACGAGATAACTCCAAAGACTCAAAAGCATTGAGCTTTCCTCTTGTCAGTAGTGTTCCAAAGTACTGCAGCAACGGTGGGGTTTGTCCAGATTGAACAGGAACACTCTGCAAATATAACACTATTTTTAGAAAACCCTCATCTCCCCCATAAAAAAATAAAATGGTCTAAATCATATTAATTCCTGCAAGTATATTACAGAATGGATGGTTAGCTTTTCATCAAGAAGAAGGTCAGAGAAGGCGTATCCAGCTGTTCCTTTCAACCATGCATGTTCAGAGGGTAAAGGATGAGACATCCTAAGGACAAAACGTACCTGAAATTTGGCTACCGTATCCGGTGTCCGAAGGATGCCTTGTGGAGATTCTGCGGCAAGCTCAGCAGCCTCCTTATACTTTGTTTGAGCAAACAATTCTTGGAAGCGTTGTACAACCTGAGAGAGTTTAAGATGACAAAATCGTGAGTTCTTGGTATCCGAGTATGGTACATAAAGCAATAAAGAATAGGTCTAACAGAAGAATATGCGAAGGTAGCTTAAATGTCAAGCAAGCAGCAAAAATGGAAGTTCAGTCAGGCGATTTTCCGTAATATTAAGTAGGTGATAAGCAAATAATAGTGGGCAGTATAATTAAAAAAACTACTCATTTCACTACTTCATCACATCATATAAGAGTGAATGACAGATAACTGAGTAAAATTAAAGCCCTGGCCTAATTATTGTGTTGTATAGAAAATGCAACTAATCAGAAAAAATTGGTCAGAAGAGCTCCAAGGAATAAGACTAATTCGCTAGTATGGTTGATGTCTTGATGACTTGATTCTAAGATCGATCACAGCCAAAACAAAGTATTATTCCAATATATTTCTAATATAGATGATCAGTGGGTATTTTTATTATAATAACTTTAGTGATTAACCTCTAGCAAAAGTAACTCTAGCCCAATCATTCTTAAAGAACATAAAATCATCGTCAAACAAGCAGCTATACAGTATGAATATATTGTCAGACTCCTTCCAACCAAGAACAAAAATAGAAAGAGAGTGCATTAAGATCTGAGATTCAACTTACCAAATTCTCTGCACCAGGCAAATTTCCTCTTTTGGCAAGATTTACAGCAAGCTCCAGATTGTTTAACTGAAAGATAATCAAAACACACAAAATTTTTGCAAGGGCAGAAATGGATTTATAAAACACAAAATGTCAAACTTATAATCTTACTTGGCCACTGACAAAGGGCACGAGTGTTGTTTCATTTACTGTAGCAAGTAAAACCTGCCCTCGTCTATTAATTGCATAGAAACCTCCTACTGAGGAAGCTTCTGATGTCAGAAAAATTGGATCTGGACTTATCCTATTTCGGTAGACTGCTGTGGCAGTTTCCAAATCATATACGAAGAGAAGCCCCAGTTTTGTAATTACATATATCATACTATACTTGTGCGAAATCTGCATAAAATGCAAAAGAAGCATGTTATGGGAAACCAAAGTGTAATATAGCTACCTGCAAATTACGTGAAAACAGATACAACAAAGAAAGAGGAAACACAAGAAATACCTGCATGGCCACAGGAAAATCATCAGCAAAATCTGGAGGAAAGAATAAATCTGCTTGTTTCTTTGTAAAAGATGGTTTCCCTGAAAAAGTCAGCCAGTATTAAGCAACGCAGGTAAGCAATTAATGAATTACTTTCTGCATGTATAAGAAACAATCATGTAATGATATCGATGCCAACGGCAAGCTGTTACAAGAATAAACCAAAAGAGGATCAAATCAGGCAAAAATGATGTACACCTGTCTGGGCTCCAAGCTCAATGATGTGCAACTTCGATGTAATCTGTCCAGCATTAGAGCTTTTGCTTGCAAAAGATATAAGAATGGAATCCTTATCATTTCCTGGAACCTGCCAAGGCAAACAAATCCATAAAATAGAAATTAGCTTAGAGAAACTCTAAACGCAATAACAATAGAGCAACACTTTTCTTACTCTAAAAGAAGCAAATGATGCAGCATGCGCTTCAAGAGCTTGACTTCGTTGCTGATCCACAGAAAACAGTTGCATATTTCCTTTCACTAATTGAGGCCTCTAGTAACATGAATAGAAGAAGAATATCAGTTCATTGAAAGGGTTGTATAGAGAAAAAACAGAATGAAAAGTTCCAAATAACAGTTGTGCCTAACGCAATAGAATGAATTCCTCAAAAACAGTTCTAAAGCCACACTAAAGCCAGATCAAAAATAAATAACTAATTCAAAACACACTCCAAACGTTCATATTATATTCTCCAGATAAATGAGAATATTTGTCAACTTCGACCAAGTTTCAAAAATTATAAAATTCATCACAGTAAATCAAGTGTGCTAGTGTAGAGTATGAGTAGAGTGGAAACACTACCACAAGAGAAGACTTGTGTGACTTGGCCATAACATTGTTCTTCCTTTTCAAGTAGGTATCCACACTATTGTGGCTTAGGGTAATGGTGCAACGTGCGTTACAACAATTATCATTTCACAATAAGAATGGTATTGTAATGTAACATTTGCTGTGTATAATTTCTCAAAAATGTCCATTCCAAAACATGCCCAAACGTGGATCTCCTTTCTTTGGAAAATCTATCATTAGTGTAAAAAAGCAGATTGCATTTTAAATCCATTGGTAAAAGATACCGAATTGTCTTTAGGAAGAAGCATTCACACGAAGCTGCTTGAATTCCATTCTCTTTGCATCAGAATTATTAGGTATCTAATAGCTAGAATGGTAGCATTTCCCAACAACGCCTAATGTTATCTACTGACAGGCACATGTCCATCTCAACATGACACAGCATTCAATGTGAAACAGTGAAACAATTATGATCTCGGAAAGCACTCGGCTAGCAGAGCTATCAAATTACATAAAATATGTAAAATCTTGGAGTGCAATAAGTTAAAAGAAATTTGTGCTAAACTGTTCTGTATGATGAGAAAACACAAGCTACAAATAAATAAATAAAATCATGAGTAGAAATGCCTATTAATTCATGATTATAGCGTAAGGATGCAAAAGAGCATTCAAAATGGACTGGAAATTTGGAAAAGATTATACTGATACGTGGTAGATACCATGGTGAAGCAGAGGAAACAGGATAGAAAGTGAAATAAAAAGAAGTTTGAAAAGTAGACTAGTGCAGTAAGAAAATAAGTAACAAGTATAACAAGAGGGAAGACAAGATACAGCAAATGCAGTTAAGAAATATAAAATAAATTGTTCTATACAAAGATTCAAATCATATTTCCAAATGTATCAATCTTAAAACTTTCCAAATGAAGAACCAAAAACAAAAAGCAATTACACACTTCAGGAGAACCAGGAGCGATCCCAATCAAAACCAGCCACTTCTCGGAAGGGTCACATTTGTAATTGATGATTTGATTGCTTGCCAAATTGGCTGTTCTATCGAACATCTTCACAGGTTCAGAATCACCTATACGGACGTGCATAGAGAAGAGGAAACATATAGAAATCTCATTAAAGGAAACAAGAAAACAAGGACCATTACGGAAAAACTGAATGATATACCTTCAATTGACCAGTGATATACAGATGATTGTGTAACCAAACCCAACATCTTTGGAGTAATCCACTTCCAAAAAACAACCTATTAAGAAGCATGACGGCAGATTGCATACATAAAAAGACAGTAACTTCAATGCAGAATATGGCAAATAATAGACGCTGCTTACATTTCAGAGAAAGCAATAAACAATGGGTAATAAAAAAATAGATATATATATATACTTGCTCAGGCATCTGATGAGACTTCATTTTTGCTTTTGCCTCAATGTTGAATATTTGCAAGTGATCTTGAGTTGTTCCAGGAAGTTGAGCTTCAAACAACCAAAACAGAAACATTATGATATAATTTCAATAATATTAGCCTGACTTCGACAAATATTGTCAGTAAACCAGATCAAGGAGCCAAAACCAAAACAATTAATATATACTTCAATGCACTAGATTTCTTTTCATAATTTAAATACTTGAAACGAATATAATGTGTAAACATGAAAGTGTACCAGTAGATTGTTACAGCATCCTGACTTAACAAGTATCACATCAATTGAGTATGAACGAAAGAAGTTTTCAAACATTACACCAACGAAGAAAATTATACTTCTCTAGCTGATTACATTGTTTTAACACCAATGAAGAATAAAAGAATTATCTCCTCTGAATAATGATACTGCAGCATGCTTCGACATAAATGATAAGGAATTATCATCTTCTTCTCTTTTACAGGCACTGAGATTGCTCCCATAAAAAGGGCAATATCACTAGTCACAAGGGTAATCACTAAATCAGGGTTATTCCCAACCTAATAACAGCTTTAACTGCAATATTATCCTTCTAACCCACATCTCTTACCCTCTCTTTATTTCCCAGATTACAATTTTGCATATAAAATCAGAAATTGCCAAAAAAAGATGCTTCTTTCCGTAAACCACGCCCAATCCCTCTCAATCAGACCAACTATATACTGACCTGCATTTAGATTTCACTCATCCTCAATTAACCGGAAACGCCCAGCATAATATATAGCTATTGTTCAAATAATCGAATTGGATAAGGAACGACAAGATAGTTTTTTTCTATGATTGCTGAATCACAAATGATGATCAGTAAAATTGCATACCTTTCAGAGCCAAAATTCTGGTATTGGGATTCATAAGCGCAGAATCTGCAGTAATAGGTCGCCTCAATGGCTGTGATGGCATGTTCATATCAATAATCACCACACTATTCTGAGGCGATGTCTCACGTACACATATATACTTATCAGATTCCATAGTCACGTTAGTGAAAGTAATGAATTGCGAATTGATCCCTATGCTGGGCAACTGCATCAACACATCAAAAAATTCAAAATTCAGATTCTACTTCAACGTGAAATAAAATTTCAAGATTCAGATCAAATCACAGATCTGAAATTAAACTGTATAATAGAGATGCGAACTGTGATTCCAACAATTCGAGCAAGTAAAATTACTGTCGACGGTTAAAATCAAGCAATTATGAAGCGACATAAAAATTTAAAAATATTTGACTATTGGAATGATTTAAAAGAGCTGTCAAGGAGTTGAAAATGTATTGAATCGTGAAAATTGAATTGAATGTCAATAAGTAGACAGAAATTGACAGTTAAAACGAAAATTGGGTACCGTGAGAACTTCTTTCATAGTGATCGGAGCGTTGGCGGCAGCCATGGTGGTGGCGAGATATCAAGCCTTCGAGATCGGAGCTCCGGATCCGGAAATGAATCAGAAATTGATAAAACGACAGCGTTTATTTAAGACGTTGCAAGAGATCTGGAGTAACGAAGAAACCCTCGGAACCCTCCGTAACCAAATAGAAAGCGAGAGAGATCTAGAGAGAGAAAGGGGGAGAGGGACTCTTCTGAAGAAAGAAGCTCAGCTAAGAGCGTGGTGTATATATGTGAAAGCTAAATGGAATTTTCTTCAGTCGAAAATTATGAGCGAGATTTCGAAAACAACAGGAGAGAGAGATTATCCCGTTGCTCTCCAATTTTTGGCGACTATAGCAATTTGGACTATAACTTTGAAAAAGAGCAAATTGGTTCCAATGTTTTGGATTTCATTGCACCCAAAAAATTCTATCCAATTTTATATTAATCAGAAAATTTTGTTTTTAATCATGATTTTTGTCTTTTTTGTTGAAACTATAGTTCTACCATTGTTTTCAATCAATAAAAATTGAAAATGAAAATAAACAAACACATAATTATGCCGGCAATCATTATTTTCAAATTCTTTTTTCTACGTATTCATTTTGGACCACGCATTCACAAGATAAAATATTCCATAAGTAAATCAATTTTTTTCTACTTTTTTATTACACGTTCTTCTAAAAATCACTATTCAAAATACGATTTTTTCCATTTAATGATTGTCAAACGGGGGCTATGTAACATCTAAAATAAAATGAGAATAGTTATGAAAGTGGCTTAATCTAGTGGCCTTCGTAAGCATCGATGCCGATTTAGAGATAAGTAACACGTAATTATGTATATTGTTTAGTTAAGAGTTTTGAGTTTTGGTAATAATATATACTAGAGTTTAGACTGGTGGCAAACAAGGTTTTGGTGCTCTTGGCGTTGACCTATAGTGGGATGTCCGAGGAGGAACGATCAGTTCTTTGTGTTAATTTTTAGAATCATACTATATGTACAATATTAGTTGACAATATTGATTAATAGCATCATACTTGACATCATCATATTCATCCAATTTAAAAAATTGTTTTCTACATTACAAGCTTGAATTTTGACAAAACGTGGTTGTCAACCATGATTGTACATTTACCTTTATTCAAAATTTTTATCATATATCTTAGGTAATTATACAATGCAATTTTTGCTTGTAAACCACATTTTAATTTTATCTGACGTTCTCAATATTTGTTCATTCTCCCCCTTATATTTTCAACTTTTTTTTTTAATATTCAATTAATTAGTATAACTTGTCCGCGACAACGGTTTCTATCCAAATATCTTGTAAGTATACTTCGAATTTAAGGACAAATGTTTTATATTTGCTTCTTTTTTTTATTTATCATTATTTAGAAATATAAAGGTGCAAATAAGGCCCCATTTAATGCCCATTAAAAAGCAGGAGTGAGTTTTGTAATTGTGAATTGTTTGAAAATGTGGAAAAAATGAGAAAAAAAAAATTGAGCTTATCTATAAGATATTTTATTTTGAAAATGTGTGCCAGAAAATGAATTTAAGGAAAAATAAATTTTGAAATAATAATTGTCAAACAGGGGCTAAGTTTCATATAGAAAACGGTATCGGTGACCTGATATGCTAATTAATGAAAGGTCAAAGATAATAATGGCGATAAAAAAAATTGAGACATAGTGTGAGAATGAGTAAATGTTGGGGGACTTTTATTTTAATTTGATGGTGTAGTGAATAAAAAATGTGATGTAAATATAGTTATTATTATTTTTTTGGTGGTTATATTCACACCACATTTTTTTCTTTTATAATACACCATATTTTAGTTACGTTAAATGTCATTAACATTTATATCTTTAACTTCTTTCATCGTGACATTCATATTTTTAACATTTTATTAATCAATAATTTTTATTTTTAATCATGATTTTTGTCTAAAAATATTGTTAACATGCTTTAAAATGAAGGTAAAATATTTAATCGAATTTTTGCAATATTCTTTGTTTTGCTTATTTAAAAACATTATTGACAAATAAGTTTTTTACTTTATCTTAAATAAAATTATGGAGAGAAATCAAAATAAAAAATAATTTAGGTTAATTTAAGAATAAGAATGCGATGAAAAAAAAAAATTGAGACATAAATTTAATAATAAGGGTATGAGCATTTCCTGTAATTAAAATATAGTCCAGTTATCAAAAATTATGGTGTAAATATATTTAGTGTGTTACTTTTTCATCTCTTGCTCAAATTGTGTATTCTACCAATTTTACTCTCACAATATTGCCCAAGTGCAATTTTTGAGGGATTTTAGATGAAAATTGTCCAATGAGAATATCATCGCAACGGAATCAAATCGTCGAGTACTAGCATGCTCTTTTTTTTGGACGTTATGGACGAAATTGATACAAGCGCTAAAACCCCAAGGCCAATGATGATATTTTCACCTCTCTGTTATATTTTATTGAGTAGCCATATGGATACTAATTTTCTTATAAGAGCACCACATTTTAATCGTATTGAAGGTCTCTAACCTTTACTTAGTAACACTGATGTCCCCAACTTTCTTCAGTTACATTTTTATTTTTAATTTTTCATTAATTAGTACTTCTTTATTGACAATTTTCATCCAATTTTTTTTATTAAGATAGCATGAGAAAGACTTATTTGCCCTCATATTTTTAAATAAGAAAAAAAAAATTAAGTACGGCTAAATATTTTTTTCTTATTTTAAAGTTTGCTAACAATTTCTTGGACAAAAATCATCGTCGAGGGTCAGGGACGGAGTCAGTACCCAAGCGTCCACCCATGCATGCTCCACCAGAAACTTTGGATTTTTGAAACTATGGTAGAGATTCTGGGAAACGTCGGAAACTATGGCTTTCTAATACTTTTTACAGTTCTTTAGATCTTTTAATTATGGTGAATTGCATTTTGAATACTTTATTTGGATTTGTTAAATCCCTAAAATATGATAAAATCGATTTCCCCGTATTTATTAGCTTACCGTTTACTTTTTAGCTCTTGTATGATGTTGATATTTTTAAACTCATTTTCAATTGCCAATTATTCAAATAAAATAAACTTGGATGTAGATTCATAACTTTTTCTACTTTTTGAATGACACATTCTAAAAAAATTACTTTTCACAAATCGCTTATAAAAAATCAACTTCACACAAGGATTAATTCTATCACAAAAATACAAAATGGTAGATGATTGGTTGAACAATAATTTGGTGGTGTATACGGAACGAGAAATTTGTGAAAAAATTGAGAATGAGATAATCTTACAGTGCTTTCAAAATATGAGACCTCAAAAAATGCAGTTTATGAACTTACAGTTATTGAGTGAGGTTGTATCATGTATTTTTTCTTATTATTTTGGGTTTTATTAGATTATATTTTTATATGTATATGATTTTTATGTTTTAGTACATTTATGTATTGATTAAATAAATTTTAATATTATTTAATTAAATAATAATATAACGTTCTCGCTATTACGTCCATCGACGTTCGACGGTCACGACTATCCTAGCTCACAAACAATCGTGGATCCGTCCCTGCTGAGGGCATTATGTGTTAATTAATGAAATATTGAAGATAAGAATAAAACTAAAAAAAAAAAAAGTCAAAAATATAAGCGTGACAATAAATAAATATTAGATTGGCATTCATAAAAAAAATTGTAGGAGAAATATGAGGAATAAAAATGTAAAAGAAACTTTACTTTCGACTTCTTTGTCGGAGGAAACAAAATAAAGCAAATTCCTTTTTCCTTGTTTAAATAGTACGTGTAAATGTTCAGTGAATATCAAACTAAAAAATATTTAAATAAATTATGTCTGCTCCATTATCAATTTTACAAAATAGATATGGGGAGGAAATCAATTCCCTCCTAAAAATTGAAAATTTTATTTTCTTCTAAAAAATAATAGAGTATAAAATATACCAAACCAACTCATTTTAATATCATGTTAAAATGAATAAAAAGTTAAAACCAATAAATCTTAAATGACGCACCTTTTTGTGAGAGTGAGTACACCATTTTGTAAAAATGTGTGAGTATAACTATCTTTATTCTTAATATAATTGACTATATGTAGTAAATTATCTTTAAGCCCTGTTTGGTTCGGATTAAAATCTGATTTTAATCCAAATCAAAGTCAAACAATCAATATTAACCACATTTTTCATGGGTTCCACAACTTTTCAATCACACATTTTAAAAACTTCTATTACAATCTACTAAAAATCTAATTTTAATCATCACTAAAGACCTTATTAATTTCCGAATAGAGGCGTTGAATCTTGTTAGGAGGGACTCCGCCCCTATTTGGTGAGGATTAAAATCAAATTTTTAGTAGATTTAGATAAAATATATGATTAAAAAATTGTAAGTCCAATAAAATATGTGATTAAAATTATTTGTTGACTTTGACTTACATTAAATTTTGAGTTTGAGTTTTTACCGAACATTGACTTCGTTTGGAAGGTGGGACAGTTGATGTCTTCGAAGAGGTCTTCTTCTATTGTTGTTTGATTTGATGAACTTGGTCAATGCATACAATTTTGGCCACTAGTCCGATAGTGACTTGCTAACATTGCAAAGACACTATTAAATGGGTGTTTGTTTTTTATTTGAGAATTGATTCTCGAATTGATTTTGAATGGTGATATGATGAGAAATGTGTGGTTGAAAAAGAAAAAATTATTGATGTGACGGAAAATATTATTTTATTGAAATTTTTCAATCTCAAATAAAAAAAAAAATTCAATAAAATAATATTTTTCATCACATCAATAATTTTTTCTTCTTTTTCGACTACACATGTCCCATCATATCACCATTCAAAATCAATTATTCCCCCAAAAATTCCTACCAAACAAGCTCTAAATAGATTACTTATTTTTTATTATGGTTAACATTGCAAAGACACTATAGATTACTTATTTCTTACGTTGGTGCATTGGAAACCAAGAAGACGATAATTTGGAGTCCTACTTAAGGTTACTCCGGTAACCGGTCATATATGCAGAAAGAGGGTAAATTTCTTCAGCAGCCATTGAACTTTCTACAAAATCCTACTCGAGTCACTAAAAAATAATGTGTTTTAATTAGATTATTGAACTTCAATTTTATTTCAAAATTTTACCACAATCATTTTCACTGAAATTGTTCTCCTGCTCACAGTGGAGGTCCACTATGGATTGAAGAATATTTCTGTCATTTCCAACTATTGTTTCTATTTTAGAAAAAATTCTAGTAATCTAAAGAATAGAGTACTCATTCATGAGATGAGACCCACTACTCAATTGATTCTCATACGAATAGATAATTCACATATAAACTCAGGGGGTGTTTGATGGATATTATTGAGAAAATAATATATTTTAAATAATAATATGATTGGAAATATGTAGTTAAAAATTAAGGAAATTTTATTGATATGATGAAAAATATTATTTTATTAAAGAATGTGTGGTTGAAAATGAGTTTTGAAATAATGTATTTTGAAAGAATGTGTGTCAAACAGGGACTCAATAATGTCAAAAAATATTGAATTCTAGATTATTTAGGATTTTCTCGTAAAATTAACCATTACGTAGCCCCTATTTGGCCCCCATTTTTGGGGGTTGAAAATGTTTAAAATAGTGATTGATGGGAGAATGTGTGGTTGAAAAGTTTTAAATTTGTGTGTAATATTATTTTATTTGATGAATGCGTGATTGAAATGAAAAGAGAAAAAAATTAATGTAATGAAATTTAATTTAATAGGGCTCAAACAGGGGCTTAAAATATGAGAGAGAGAGAGGGAGAGAGAGAGAGAATAAAACATGTATAACAAGTCATTCCATAACAAAATCAAATTACAGAACCCTAAAACTGACTTAATTAAAACCAGAAACCAATGAAAACCCAATTTTTAAATTATCCAAAAAACGACGAATCGATTACGTTTCGACACACTAATATCTTTAAAACTCAAGAACAGTTGTACTAGAATTACATGAAGAAGGCCCAAGAAAATGACATAATAAGCATAAGAATAGTTGCAGTAGAAGTATCAGCAGCAAACTCATATGCAGCACTGGCAGTTGTTGAGTTTGCTACCTGAGGGCTTTCTGGCTCCAAAACTTTGATAATCATCTTGAGTCCCCTCTCACAGTGTCCTGAAACACCACTCATAAAATAGTACAAGCCCGGATGATCCAATGTATAGGTACTGTTTCCATTGTTGGAGAAGAACATAGGATGAGTCGATCGACATTTCTCGTATTCTTCTTCTGTCACCTCTAACACTGAATCCTTAGTATACTCGAAGCCTGCATTTCTATTTATTAGTGCATTAAGAAAGAAAATTCTGAATTTTATGTAGATGCATATACGTGAAAAATTTCCACATATCATTAATCCTCTCGGTAGAGATTTTGTATTATTGTATAACTTATTTTCCCTCAAACTCATTATCTCCAAAAAAATCACTTTTCAAAATCTATTCTAAAGAAATCTACATCAAACATGCCCTTTTGTCAGAATTAATACCTAAGTAGCATTTTATGAGGAGCCATGTCTAGATTTTGAATTTATAAGGCATTGTTATCAAATAAATTTTAAGTTAATTTATTATTAACTAAGCAAGAACTATAACAAATGCAGTTTAGACATATGAACAAAGAATTAAATACAACTTACATAGGGTGTCATTAATCTTGAACCTGTTCTTGGAAGCCCAATCATTGTATAGCTGATCATTCTTCGGCGAGGGGACGGCCCAGCCTGCGTCGCCGCCGACACGAAACTCGACACTATGCACTGCAACCAAGTGTAAGGCAAAGTACAAGTTGAACAGTATATAAACTTTGGAAGACATTTTTGGGGCTTCAAGAGAGCGTTCTAGCCTTGTTTATCTGTTAATGATATGCTGAACCTTTGAGTACCAAGAGCAATATGTATAAACTGTAATATATAGTGTAGAGAGAGATTCGAGGAGAAAGATGTGGAGAAAGTGGGCTTGTTGGTGGCAACAGTTTAGGAATATCTATCTGGATATCTTTGACTTGGTATTAACTGTTACTCCACTGATTTTTTTATTATTATTATTTACAGAAACAAAGATTTTGATTATCATAAGAATTTTGATTATTTGAGAGTCACATCTCTTTAAAAAAAAAAAAAAATTTTAAGAGTAACAAAATTACTGAAAATTAATGGTTCAAATAATAAATTGTCACATAAGATAATTATTATAATCGCCGACTACGAATATTATTACTCTTTTCTTTAATATATAAAATGTTAAGAAAACAAGTTTTAAATTGAGTTAATTGTCCCGACAGTCACCCAACTTTAACCCTAACAGTAATTAGGTTAGGTTATTATATTTGCAGTAATCAGATCACTTGATTTCAATTTAATAAAATCAAAGTACTCATTTGAGTTCTATGAGACGGCATAACAGAAGACTCTTAGTTAACTGTTAAAACTAATGAACTGACGTGGATATCCACATGGACTTGCTTGTCACATAAGCCACATATTAAACTCTCAAGGTATGTCATGTATGTGAAGCAAATATTTTTATAATAATGTTAAAATGATTTAATACTTATATTAATACAAATTATTGTTGACATTTTCCTAAATAAAATGATTAATTATCTGAAACCTAGTATAATAATTATTTAAGGTTACAAATGTTAAGAATATGCTTGTAAAACATTACATTTTGTATTGTACTTTAAAGTTTATTAATTATCATAATGACATGATTCACCTTGATAATAATAGTGAACTTGAAACGTGACTCTAGTCGATTGTGGATGCTAGACCAATAGTCGGTGATATGGTCATAATATATCACCTCGAGCACGATAACTAGAAGTAGCTCAACTTCCTTGACCACCAGTTGAGAATCCTCGGGCATAAAACGTCCTCGAGACATCTCGAGGAAGGACCACCCCAGATTGCCCCTATAATCACTTCGGAAGTCCTCGGGAATAAAGGCCCAAGGATATTTACTTGGACAAATCCCGCGTATTCCTAACCAAGTGTCGCCGATCCTCATTCCGGAAGATTCCTAATCCTACACGAACGCCCCAACCTGAGAATCCTAGATCATGTAGGAATCCTAGATCATAAAGGTGTCTCATCTTTGGTAACACTTTTAACAAGGTAAGTTTAGACTCCTAATTATATTCCAATACTTACTCCTGAAAACAAGGAGATGAATCATGCTACAACTCTCCTACCTTCCCCTATAAATACAGCATCCCCATCCATCATTCAGGTATGTTTTTACACATATTCAGTATATCTTTTCTCTCAACTTCCCTGTCTGACTTAAACATCCGAGGGGCAGTGAGGGCACACATCGACGCCTTTGTTTCAGGTACCGAAAGATCTTGTTAGTAATCAATCTCAGTGATTAAGCTCGGAATTCAACAGGTGACGATTTTTGGTAAGATCAGTCGGTAATGTAGCAATTTTTCAAGTTTTGCAATTCTTCGATTTCTGATTCATATGCGACTCCAATAATTACAAGAGAAACAACTCGTAATCACATTTAAGGTTTACATGCAAGGACATAAACACCATCAACTATCGTCGTTATCATGGCAATGTAATTTTCAATGGCCGTTGTCCTCTTGAACCATGCCCTTATTCCGTTGACACCACCAAAAAGTGGGTACTGAATAATGAACTTTGAGAGCATTCGAACTCTTGTTTATAAGAGAAACGTCCCTATTAACTTCCAAGTGAAACCCTCCTTCACTCCCTTTTGTTCCTTCTACTGAACGCAAATAAGCAGGCTCTAAAATATGCCGAGTTACAATGTCACCAGGGTACTTTAGAAAAGGAGAGATTGTGCGATCGTCTAGTAGCTCGATTCCGATTCTAGTGAACCCAACTGTTGGATAGTGAGGAACAATATCTGCTTTGTCACGAACACTTAGTATATGAAGTTTTTTCAGACTTCAGAATTTCCTTAAAATTCAAGTCCCCAACTCGTGGACTGCCAAATTTGAATGCTGTCACGGGACAAGAATTGTTTGGTTTATCACTCGGCCTGTTGTAACCGTTGGCTACAATGTCTGCTACACACAATGTTGAAAGTGCAGCACCCAAACTGTGGCCTGTTACGGTTATGCTCATTTCTGCGTTCTTGAATCTTTCAACCTGTCGCCTTACCCCCGACAAAACCTGGTCATTTAAACTCAATTAACAATGGAATTTACATTTGGCTGCTTGGGAATCCCACATAGTTCAAGAAAATTCCCAAAAAAATATAGAGGTTGAATCCACCTGCGTGTCAGGTCAACTCACGCGGGTGACCAACGAACCATTTTTGAATGCATTTCATTTGAAGTCAATTTTAATATATCTCAATGAATTCGAATATACCTGGTCTTCTGCACTTGTTTTGTAGTATCTCGATTGTTTATCATTCGAAGTATAAATAGAAAGCACACCACTGTGTACTTTAGCTTCACCAGTTAGGGCATGTTCTCTTTATCGTTTTCAGGCCGTTTTCTGTTTTCGATTTTCCAAAATACTGAAAACACGTTCTCTTTTCCATTTTCGAAAACCCGTTTTTGAAAACACAAAAAAAATTTGTACTGAAAACACAAAACGTCATTTTTGACGTTTTGGGCGTTTTCAGTACAAAACACGAAATAAGATGGAAAATGCAGAAAACGCTCACCCAAATTAAAAAATAAAAATAAAAATTTCCTCTCCCCCCCTCGCATAGCCTCCCGTAAGATTCTCGATTATGGCTACCTTTCGGCAACCATGGTCACCGAATTCCACCACCACTAAACACACCTCACTGCCCTCTACAACATACACCCAGCCGTCGGCAGCAAACTCACCGGAATCAGCAGGAAAAATAGTCCAAAAATCAGAAATGTCATACACTTCTACTGTCGGGAACTCTTGTTCTGGCGACACCCATGGTCGCGCACCATCGCCGATCAGTATCCCT